CTTTAAATATTTAAAAATTGCATTGTAGAGCTCTTTAATGTCTTTGGTCAAGTTTATTCTGAGATATTTTTTTTTGCAGCTATCTTGAAAGGGAGTGTTTCCATGTACTCTTTCTCTGATTGTTTGTTATTGGTATATAGAAAGGCAACAGATTTTGGAGATTAATTTTGTAATCTGCCGATTTACTGAAAGTGCTAATCATTTCTAGGGTTTTCTGGTGGAATTTTTGGCATCTCTTAGATATAATAGCATATTGTCTGCAAAAGGGATAATGTGAGCTCTTCTTTTCCAATTATTATTCCTTTAATTTCCTTCTCTTGTCTTATTGCTCTTGGAAGAGTTTCCAGAACTATGTTAAAGAGGAGTGGAGTTCCTGGACAGCCTTGTCTTATTCCTGATTTCAATGGGAATGCTTCCAGTTTTTCTCCATTTAGAATGATGTTTTCTGTGGTTTTGTTGTATATGGTTTTAATTATGTTGAGGTATGTTCCCTCCAGTCCAATTCCCTCTAGGACTTTGCACATAAATGCATGTTGAATTTTGTCAAAGGCCTTCTCTGCATCTATTGAGATGATCATGTGGTCCTTGTCTTTGTGTCCATTTAAATGATTTATGATGTTTATTGACTTACATATTTGAACCATCCCTGCATCTCTGGAATAAAGCTGACTTGATCATGGTGGATGATCTTATTGATGTGTGCCTCTATGTGGTTTGCAAGTACTTTGTTGAGAATTTTTGCATCTATGTTCATTAAGGATATGGGTTTATAGTTTTCTTTTTTGGTTGTATCTTTACCTGGTTTGGGTGTTAGAGTGATGCTGGCTTCATAGTCGGAATTTGGAAGTTCTCCCTCCATTTCTATCTTTTTGAATAAATTATGTAGTATTGAATATAGATCTTTTTTAAATGTCTGGTAGAATTCTGCTGTAAATCATCTGGTCCTAGGCTTGTTTGTACTGCTGTTTCAATTTCCTTATGTATTATGGGTCTGTTTAAGCTATTGTATATTCTCGGTTTAGTTTTGGTGGTTTCCATGCTTTTAGATACCTATCCATTTCTTTTAGTTTTTCAAATTTAGTAGCATATAGGTTTTTAAAGTATTCCCTTATAATGTTCGTAGAATATAGGTTTCTAAAGTATTCCCTTATAATGTTCTGGATCTTTTTGGTGTCTATTGTTGTTTCCCTTTTCATCTCTGATTTTGTTGATTTGGAGGTGCTCTTTCTTTCTTTTGTTTAACTGGTATAGAGGGTCTGTCAATCTTGTTTATCTTTTCAAAGAACCAACTCTTGGATTTGTTGATTCTTTGTATTGTTTTCTTTGTTTTTATTTCATTAATTTCTGCTCTGATTTTTGTTATTTCTTCTTGTCTGCTGGGTTTGGGTTTCATTTGTTGTTGCTTTTCAAGTGTGTTGAGTTGCAACATTAAGTCATTTATTTGTGTTCTTTCTGATTTTTTGATGTAGGCACTTAGAGCTCTAAACTTCCCTCTAAGGACCGCTTTCAGAGTGTCCCAGAGGTTTTGTTGTGTTGTATTGTCCCTTTCATTTAGTTCCAGGAATACTTTTATTTCTTTCTTAATTTCTGCTTTGACCCATTCATCATTTAGGAGTGCGTTTTTTAATTTCCATGTGTTCATGTAGTTACTAGGGTTTCTTCTGGTGTTGATTTTAAGCTTTATTGCATTGTGGTCTGATAGAATGCATGGAATTATTTCAGTTGTTTTTGAGGTTTGTTTTGTGCCCCAGTATGTGGTTGATTTTGGAGAAAGTTCATGGGGCTCTGAGTAGAAAGTATATTCTTTGGTGCTTGGGTGGAATATTTGGTAGATGTCTGTTAGGTCCATTTGATGTATGGTATTGTTTAATTCAGTAGTCTCTCTATTAATTCTCTGTCCTGTTTACCTATCTAATGGAGACAATGGGGTATTTAAGTCCCCTGCTATTAATGAATTGGTATTAATCTAGATCTTAAAGTCCTGTAGTACTGTTTTTATGAAGTTGGGTGCCTTTATGTTCGTGATTGTAATATCTTCTTGGTTTACTGTTCCTTTGATCAGAATGAAGTGGCCATCTTTGTCTCTTCTGATTAGTTTTAAAGTCTATTTTGTCAGATACTAGAGTTGCAACACCTGTTTTTTTCTTAGTACCATTTTCTTGGTATATTTTTTTCCATCCTTTCACCTTAAGATAGTGCCTGTCCTTGAAAGTCAGATGGGTTTTTGCAGACAACAAAAAGATGGGTTTTGTTTCTTAACCCATTCAACTAGTCTGTGTCTTTTGACTGGGGAGTTCAGTCCATTGATATTTAAAGTTATTAATGAACGATGTGTATTGAATCCTGTCATTTTTTAAATTTCTTTTCACATTCTTAGTGTAGGTGTGCATTTCCACAGTTATACCTTCATTGAGTTTCTTTCTGTAACCCCTTGGGTATAGTTATTCCTTTCTTCAGCTCTTTGTATTGCTTTAAGAACTTTCTGAAGAGATGGTTTTGTGGACATGAATTCTTTCAGCCTATTTATGTCATGGAAGATTTTTCTTTCCCCTTCGACTATAATAGACATTTTGGCTGGGTATAGTAATCTGGGTTGGCATCTGTGCTCATTTAGAACTGGGAATACTTTGGTCCAGGCTCTTCTGGCTTTCATAGTTTGCACTGAAAAGTCAGCTGCAATCCTGATGGGTTTTCCTTTATATGTGACTTGTTTTTCTTTTGCAGCTTTCAGTATTGTCTCTTTGTTCTGTACGTTTAGTGTTTTTACTATGATGTGCCAAGAAGAGTTTCTTTTCTGGTCCTATCTATTTGGTGTTCTTTTTTCTTCTTATATTTGTTTGGGCATGTCTTTCTTTAATTTGGGGAAATTTTCTTCTATGAGTCTGTTGAGGATCTGGTTCATACCATTGTCTTGAGATTCTTCTCCTTCCTGTATGCCTATGATTTGTAAGTTTGGTCTTTTTATGGTGTCACAAAATTCCTGCATATTCCATTCTTGTTTTTTCCTAAATTTTTCATAATCTTTGCTTGAGTGGTCTAATTTGTCCACTTTATCTTCCAGTCTTGATATTGTTTTCCATTTCATTCATCCTATTGGTGAGGCTTTCTCCTGTCATTTCTAATTGGCATATTGAGTATTTCACTTCCTTCTCCATTTCAGCTTGAGTATTCTACAATATTTCTAACTCTTTTCTGAATTCATCCAGAAGTTTGTCTCTATCTTCTTTTAGGCCTTTGATTTCTTTGTTTGTGTGTTCTTTAAGTTCACTGAATACTTTTATCACGTTTATAATTGTTCTTTTGAATTCCCTGTTCTATGTTATTTCTATGGTGTTCTCATTGTACTCCTCTACAGGATTGTTGGTGGGAATATATTATTTTGATTTTTCATGCTATTATTTTTTTTCAGTGACTTTGACAAATGGATTTCTTTTGTAATTTCTGATTCTTGTATGAGACTCAAGCCTTTCTTTGTTGAGTTTAGGTTTGCTTCTTTTTGTAAACTTTATGTGCCCTTGTGGTTTACTTGTTGGGCATGAAGAGTTGGTTGGTCTAGGTTTCAGGTTCTCTCCTTAGATTTTATTTTGGAAGGGCCAGATGGCTTTCATCCTGCTGCTCAGGAATTCCCACAGAGACCCAAATCAGATGAGGATCAGATGTTCTCAGGCTTTCTCCTAAGGTCTGGATCCCTCCAGGAAAGATGCTGGCCTCGGGAAGTTGAGGGCTGTGCCAGTCTGGGACCAGGGCCTGTCTCAGGCATACAAAGGCAAGGTGGGGGAGGGAACAGGCCTCAAGGGCTCCCAGGGGACTAGACCTAGGAACTGGGTTGGTCTGGGTGCAAAGGGTCAGGAAGCAGTGGGGAGTCTGGGCCAAGAGGGCAGTCCAGAGGTCTGGGGTGCCAAGAGAAGAAATGGTCCAGTGCCCACACTAGGAGGAGAGATGGGGTGGGGGAGCTGGGAGGGTGAATGAGGCTGGGGGAGTCAAGGCACAGTGAGTGCGGGGTGGCACTTACCCAGGAATGAAGCTGGCCCCAGGAAACTGGTGGCTGTGCTGCCCAGAAATGGAAAGGTGATGTGAGGGAGGGAACAGGCCCTGAGGGCTCATGGGGACTAGAGGGAGGAACTGGGTTGATCTGGGTGCAAAGGGTCAGAAAGCAGTGGGGATTCTGGTTCAAGAGGGCTGTCAAGGGGTCTGGAGTGCCAAGGGAAGAAATGGGCCAATGCCCAAGCTAGGAAGAGAGACCAGGTGGGGGAGCTGGGAGGGTAAATGAGGCTGGGGGAGTTAAGATGCAGTGGGTGCTGCCAAACTTACCCAGAAAATATGCTGGCCCCAGGAGGCTCTCTCTAGCTGTTTTAAAGAGAGGGAAAGGAGGAAGTAAATGGTGAGGACTAGGGGCGCTCGAGTTGTAGGAAAGAAGGTCTTTGAGACTGACCCACAGATTCTGCTCTGCTAGTAGTAGATACTCTGTGTTTAGCAGAACTTCCATCGCAGCCAGAGGCCCTGCATCGGGAGCCCCAAGAGTGCTACCTATGAAAGCACTGTGGAACGTTATTTTTCGCTTCCTGCTTTCAGTATCTCATCTGCAAACTGGGGCAGGAGGTGGACCCTATACTCGTGTCCGTCTCTCATTCATAGCCTCTGGAGTCTATTTTTGCTCTGTCCTTTCTTGCCTCTGTTCTGAACACAAGTAGTGGCTGAGACTAGTTGATCCCAGGAGGTGAGGGCGGGCAGATCCCAGTGCCCTTGGCAGAGAATGCCACAGTGAACTGAGAAGAGCAACGAGGTCACTGTGGGATCTGGAATCCTGGGTGGATGCGTATTGATGAAAGCAAACACTGCAGTCTTCCAACTCATCCCAGCAGAGCGACGCAAGTAGGAGCCTGAAAGCAGGAAGGGAAGCTAAAGCCAATGCCACAGTGGAGCCAAGACAGCCCAGTAGTCAAATCTAGGCACGTGTCCACGTTTCACCCTACACTGTGTGTATATAGCATGGGGTTAATACTGGCAGACCTTAGTCCTGGGAGTGCCACTTCGTTGATGAGGGCTTCTTGAAATGCCACCAAATCTCACCTAGCACCAGTTCCTGTATAATTTGAGATAATGCTTATGTAAGAATGTCTTTCAGAGAATTTTTTCAAATTTTAGTTTCGTTAGCTTTAAAATAACAATAATAACCAGCCATCATGGTGGTGCATGCCTTTAATTCCAGCATTTGGGAGGCAGAGGCAGGCAGATCTCTGGGAGATCCAGGTCAGCTCAGGTTACAGGGAGACCCCGTCTCAAAAATCAAACAAAAACAAAAAACAAAATAAGGATAATAATATTAGCTCCTTTAAAGGATATTTACAGGACTCAGTCACTAAATCTCTGTTAAGCATTTAATACAGCATCTAAAAACAGTTACTCCCAACCATGTTTATTATCAGCACTGTATAATTTTTTAAATTTTTATCATTTAAATTTTATGTGTATGAGTGTATTGCCTGCATGTATGTAAGTGTACCTGCATTGTGCAATGCCCACAGAGGTCAGAAGTGGGCATTGGATCCCCTGTAACTGGAGTTATGGACAGTTGTTAGCTGCCATATGTACACTGGAAGTCGAACCCAGGTCCTCTGCAAGAGAAGCCAGTGTTCTTAACCATCGAGCCATCTCTCTAGCCCCAGCACTGTATAATTTGTGATATGCTGTACCATGCAAATGTTAGTTCTGTGGCCAAAGCATTTGACTTAAATTTGATGATACAGAAGGATTTCTGGTCTTTTTTTCCACCTAGAACCTGACCATTTTATATTTTTAGAACTTCAGTGTGATTGTGAGCAATATCACAGAGGCAGACGTGTCATCCTTGGTGCAAAATCTTTCCACCATCATTCAGCAAAACCCCTCTACTACAGCTGGGAATCTGGCTTCAGTGGTGTCAATTCTCAGCAACATTTCATCCGTGTCACTGACAAAGTCTTTTATGGTGTCTAATTCAACGATGAAGGTATGGTTTCCCTGTTTTTGAAGGACTAACTCTATTTAAATTTTATTTTATTCTTATATTTTTTGAGATAGGGTCTCCATGTAGCTCTAACTGACCGGACACTTGCTGTACAGTCCAGGCTGACCTCAGACTCCTGGTTACTATCCTGGTGTAGCCTTCTGAGTGCGGAGATTACAGGCGTGTACCACTGTGCACAGACTGAAGGGCTCACTTTAGATAGCGCATTTGGAGGAGGAGAAATATGAGCCTGAATGATGGGGGACTCGTAGCGAGGACAGAGATGCCATGTGACAATCCTCTTGGGAGCTTCATTGCTTTTTCTAAGACATACAGGGAACTCTGGATCAACAGACTAAGTTCAAAGGGAAAGAGCTGCCCCGAGCAGGCTGCCTGTGCAGCTTCAGGTTTAGAGGGAGGGAAAAGCTTTGTGCTATTATCCATGAGTGCCAGTTTCAACTCTTTTTTTTCTCCATGCTGGAGATTAAACCCATGGCCTCAGGCCTACTAGTCAAGCACTCTGCTACTGAGCTACATCCTCACTCCTTAATGCGTGTTTGTAATCCATAATTATTCTTTTCTGTGGCTGTGAGCTCTAATCTTAGCAGCATGTATTTTAAGAACTCCCTTCTCTTGGTTGTTTTAATTTAGATATTTTAAAATAGAGTTTAAAATTTATTGATTTATTTATTTTTATTTTATGTGTATGAATGTTTTACCTGCATGTGTGTAACTGCACCTGTGTCATGCAGTGCTTGCAGAGGTCAGAAGACAATGTCAGATTCCTTGGAACTAGAGTTACAGATGGTTGTTAGCCACCACGTGGGTGCTGGGAATTGAACTCGGGTCCTCCGCAAGAGCAGCCAGTACTCTTAACCACTGAGCCATCTCTCCAGCCCCCAAAATGGAATTTAAAATGACACAATGTTATTTGCTCACTATAAGAAAGCCAGTGTTGGGCATGTAGTACAGACTTGTAATTCCAGCAGTTGAGAAGCTGAGGCAGAAGAATTGTGAATTTGATGCTAGCCCCGGCTTTACAGTGAATTCAAAGCCATCCTGGGTGACATGGCAAGACCATCTCAATAAAAGAAGAGGGAAAAGAAAGAAGGAAGGAAGGAAGAAGGGAGTGAGGGGAGGAAGGAGAAAGATAAGTAAGCAAAAAGAAAAATAAATGATTGCAGTCCCACCATTTGAGAAGAGCTACTGCTTATATTTTGGGTACTGCTCAGAGTGTCTGAGCAGTGACACACAGCAAGCACTTGATAAATATTTAGTCAGCATGTATGCATTTTCATATGCTACCTACTACATAATTGTACCTTGTACTTAACTATATACAGCAAACATGATGTCAACTGGGGCAGTGACTAAGAATAAATTAAGTTCCTTGAATTAAAGAAAAGATGCTCAGATTCAGATTCGCTTTTCCCATTTTGTTTACAGAAGACTAAAATGAAAAGGTACAAAAAGTATAAATATAGGGGCTGGAGAGATGGCTCAGCGGTTAAGAGCACTGAGTGCTCTTGCAGAGGACCCGGGTTCTAGTCTCAGCAGCCACATGGCAGCTACGAACCGTCCTTACTCCAGGGAATCTGAAGCCCTCTTCTGACCTCCACAGAGGACAGGGGTACACTCACATACATGCAGGCAATACACTCATACACATAAAATAATAAAATAAAATACTTTTTAAAAAATATAAATATGAAATGAACAATAAAATGAAACATTTAAGAGAAACCAGAAATTCCTCAGGGCCGTAGAAGCAGCATACTGGGTCAGGCATGAGGGGAGGAAGCTGTGTTCATAACACTCAGGAAACTGAGGCAGGAGGAGCATGAGTTCAAGGCCAACCTGGGCTACATAACAAGACTCTGTCTCATAAAACAACAAACAAGGGGTGGGAGAGATGGCTCAGCGGTTAAGAACACTGGCTGTTCTTGCAGAAGACCAGGATTCAAATCCAAGCACCCACATGGCACTTAACAACTGTCCATAATTCCATTTCCAGGGGATCTGATAGCCTCTTCTGTCTGCTGCGGGCATTGTATGACATGGGTGCATTTACCTACATGCAGGCAATACACGCATACACATAAAATAAGAATAAATAAAATATTAAAAGAAAGTTTCAAAAAAAAAAAACCCAACAACAAACAAGTAAACAAAAATGCAGGAAAAAGTAGAAAAAGCACACGTGAGATTCTGGGCTAGAGGACAGGGGTGGCTGGGTTAGGGTAAAATGTGATAGATCCCTGTAGCTGGGAACCAGAGTCATAAACAGGACAGCCCTGTGGGAGAAAACAGCGACGTCCAAGGACCTCCTTGGAGAAGGAATCTTTCAAACTGTCTCATATTCTAAAAATATTTATTTTTAAGTACATGCACGTGTGTGGGTATGTACACACGTGAGTGCAGGTGTCTTCAGAGGTTCCCTGGACCTGGAGTTCCAGGCAGTTGTGAGCTGCCCTACATGGGTGCTGAGAACTGATCTCAGGCTCTCTGCAAGCCCAGTACATGCTCTTGACCTCTGAGCCATCTCTCCAGCCTGCAGCTTTAAAGGCCACAGAGAGCTTCAAGGCTGCATTGTTGCCTGAGTCTAGTTTTTCAGGATTGCTGTTTCATATTCTTACACAGTAAACAACAACAAAAATCCCATGAATCAAAACGTAGACATCTAGGGCATGAATTTAAAAGTTCTGATGTTAGCGAAATAAACAAAATGGGAATGTTGTTCAAAGTCAATGCTTCTGGTATTCTAGGATGCTGATTCATCCATGCTGCAGTGAAACCTCACCATGATGGCAAATGACTTGTGATGAACCCCCTGGAACTGAGTTTGTTTCTTTTAAAATTTTATTTCATTTATTTTTGTGTATGTACCGCAGTGTGTGTGTGTGTGTGTGTGTATGTGTGCGTGTATGAGAGCAAGACAGACAGAGAGAGAGAGAGAGAGAGAGAGAGAGAGAGAGAGAGACAGAAGACAACTTGTGAGTCCCAGGTCTTCAGTTCTCTCTACCATGAGGGTCCTGGGAATCAGACTCAGGTCATCAGGCTTGGCAGCAGGTGCCTTTACCCACTGAGCCATCTCTTCAACTTGACCCAAATTTCTTTATCAGAACATTTCGATTGTATAGAGTGAAAGAGCTAATGTAATTCATGAGTTTTACTGTGACCATCAATTCACCAAGTCTATGGCCATTTTTCCTATACTTAGTAGGAGTGACTGCCCACTCTTAGTGACTTTGATCCTTGTGTTTCAGGATGTCATCAGCATAGCTGACCATATTCTGAATTCAGCCTCCATAACTAATTGGACAATTTTATTGCAAGAAGAAAATGGTGCCAGCTCACAGTTACTAGAGACGTTGGAAAACATCAGCACTCTCGTACCTTTGACTGCTCTTCCTCTTAATTTCTCTCTAGAATTCATTGATTGGAAAGGGATTCCAGTGACCCAAATCGAATACACACAGGGTTATAATTATCAGGTTGAAATGATCCAACAAAATTCCTCCCTTCCCATCAGAGGACATATACTTATTGAACCAGACCAATTCCAGAAATCCTCTCTAGAAAGTATTATCAGCATGGCTTCCTTGACTTTCGGGAACATTCTACCCATTACCCACAGTAGGAATGCACAGGTCAATGGGCCTGTGATATCCACGCTTATCCAAAACCATTCCATCGATGAAATTTTCCTGAACGTCTCCAAGCTAGAGGCAAACCTGAGCCAGCCTCTCTGTGTGTTTTGGGATTTCAGTCACTTGCAGTGGAGCAGCGCAGGCTGTCAACTAGTAGATGAAACTGCAGACACGGTGCTGTGCCGATGCACTCACCTGACCTCCTTCTCCGTGCTCATGTCACCCTCTGTCCCCCCTGAATTTGTCCCCATAGTGAAATGGATCACTTACGTGGGACTGAGCATCTCTATTGCAAGTCTCTTGTTATGCCTGATCATTGAGTCTCTGTTGTGGAAACAAACCAAGAGAAGCCAAATCTCATACCTGCGCCACATTTGCCTGCTGAATATCATCCTGTCGCTCTTGATCGCTGATGTTTGGTTTATTGTTGCTGCGGCTGTGGACACCACCGTGAGCGCTTCTGGAGCCTGCATAGCTACAGTGTTCTTCACCCACTTTTTCTACCTTGCTTTGTTCTTCTGGATGCTTGTGCTTGGCATTCACCTGGCTTACCGAGTCATCCTTGTGTTCCATCACATGGCTGTGCCTACCATGATGGCTATTGGGTTTGGCCTGGGCTACGGGTGCCCTCTCATTATATCCGTCATCACCATCGCAGTCACCCAACCTAGCAATAACTACCAAAGGAGAGACATGTGTTGGCTTAACTGGTCCGATGAGAGCAAACCTCTCTTGGCTTTCGTCGTCCCTGCATTGACTATTGTGGTTGTGAACTTGGCCGTGGCACTGCTAGTCCTCAGGAAGCTCTGGAGGCCGGCGATTGGAGAAAAACTGAGTCAGGATGATAAGGCTACTGTCATCCGCATGGGAAAAAGCCTCCTTACTCTGACCCCGCTGCTAGGGCTCACCTGGGGCTTTGGCATAGGGACAATGGTGGACAGTCAGCGTCTGGCTTGGCATGTTCTTTTCGCTTTGCTCAACGCTTTTCAGGTAGGAACCCTAAAAATGATGTGTCCTATTCTTATGTGATTGGAATGAGTCTAGAGACCAGGTTGGTAGATGGAGATGACCCCATCTTCTGAGTTCCAGCAAGTCTATAACACAAAGTTTATAGAAGTAGTGAGAAGATCAATCCACCCATTTTCTTCAACAGTTCATATCATGCTAAATTAGGAGAGACTTCTCCAGTAATCCGATTCATGGCTTAACATCCATCAGACTTCACATAACTCACATGAATCCCTCTTGCAGTTGACTCAGTTTTATTTCTCTTGTGCAAAGCCCTGACAAAGCCTAGAGAAAGGGAAATAAATCAAAAGTGCTTGTTGACCTTGGCTAGTGCAAAGCAAGTCCCTGGAATGGCATAAACAAAGGCCAGCAACCTAACACCAACAGCCAGACTTTGTAAATAAAGTTTTATTAGAATACAACCACATTCATTAATGTACATAGGGTCTCTGGTCCTTTTCTCTCTAATAGCAGAGGAGTTGTGACAGACACTAAATTATTTTGTAAACCCTAAAAGACTTACAATCTGGTCTTTACACAAAATGTTTGTGATCCTTACTATTAAGGATGGTTCGTCCGTCCCATAGCCAGAGAGTGTTCAGAGTAAATGGAGAAAATAATCCTTAGGTTTTGATGTATCTGGAAGGAAGTCTTCAATCCTGATTTATTCCAATTATACCATCTGGGCTAATGACTCGGGGAAATGGTAGTCACTCATTTGCGTTCTGGAGTCAAGTGTGTTTTCTCTTAAATTTACCAACTATACGCAATCCAACAAATTACTTGCTCTCTCTGTCCCTCCATTCTCTCAGCTGATGAGTGGAGACCTAGTAGCATTTATAGAGCAACTGTAAGGATTAGGTGAGGTAAGTTAGCACTTGGCATGGTGCTTAGAAAGTTTTCCTAAAGCACCTGGTACTCCAGCATTCAACATAGCAGTGAGTGTGCAGGCAGCAAGTAGTACAGATTGCAGTCGCAGAGAGCATGTGCTGATCATGACAAGCCTGGGGACCTCAGGAAGGGCAGGCTCATGAACAGTGTGCTATTTGAACAAGTGTCAGTGAAAGCTTCTCTGACTGGGAAGACTTCATTGTGGAGGAAAGTCTTTGCCAAGGTTTTCCATGAGTTGTACTTGAAGGGAGAGTTACCAATAGAGGCCACCTCCCTCCTGGTCATAGCACATACTGGACTTCAGTGCCTGCTGCTGTCACAGGTACATGGTGAATGCTTATTAAATGCCTGGTCTAAAGAAAAGCCAAGACACAGAAGCCAGTGGGAGCTATTTGTTTGGGGCTCTGAATGGCACTCTAGCAGAGAATAAAGCTTCACACGCGTTTACAGCTTCGTTTGTTCATTTACACACTTGTGGAAAATTGCCCTTGAGTACGTTGTGCTGTGCCAGGCACTGTGGAGCTCACATAGTGTTCTTGCCTTCTAGGAGCCTATAGTCTAGAAGGGAGGAAGAGAAGAAAACCAGTTCAACCTGGGTGTATGGTGCACACCTGTAATCCCAGCACTCAGGAGGTAGAGGCAGGAGAACTGAAAGTCTGAGGCCAGCCTGGCCTAAGCAATAACTATCAAGTTAGCCTGGGTTATAAGATAAGATCTTATCGCCAAAAAATAAAACAAGTTCAACATTGGAAACTTAGGTGACCTAACAGCACAAAAGAATTATATAAAGGATTTCTTATCTGGAAAAGAAAATACAATGCATGTGATTTACCT